TAATACTTGGGGAAATTGAAGAATTATAAGAAAAGGAAGTATTCCTAAGACATCATGGGATTACTAAACCAGGGCTGATATTTATCTCCAATCCTTCAATTGATAATCCATAGCATAATGACTTGAATATAAAAGCTACATGTACAGTACTCACATTTGAATAATTATTAATACATGAAGAAACATTCCATATTTAAAATTATTTGTCAAATGAACTGTTTGTGTGGAGTTCTGGTCATTATGATTATTGTAATGCAAAGATCTTTCAAGATTCATTTACCTGATTTCAAGGACTAAGTAACTTATAATAAACCAAGAGTGCATTACACATGCTTAACTAAATATATCAGTAAACACAGATTTGTCTCTGTATGTCTGGATCTTAAAACTTGAGGTTCACTTCAGCTTTTACATTCCATAAGACAGCAGGATGTAATGAGAGCATATTAAGCTATTAATTTGAATATCCTTGACTGACTTTGGAAGTCTGGGTTCTTTAACTCCTCAATTCCCAAGATACCTCGTTTGTAGAAGGAGGATGCTGTGAGGAAAGTACATGGCACATGTTTAATTTATTTTCTTTAGAAAAATCATTTCTAATTTGAGGGGAGAAGTTTCTATATGAAAGTTTCCATGAAATACAAACACTAAGAAAAATATCTTGTGTGTGGGAATATAGGTATGACTGTGTGCATGTATTAAACTCTAGAGAGCTTGTAAATGTAATTGTATTTTATCTACTTTATTTATTTATTTATTTTGTTTCTTCTATTTAAAGTTGTTTTTAGTGTAATTTATCTTTATAATCAAAGGAACAAAACTAAATAATGCAACTGAAAATTTAAAACACATAATTTTGCTAAACTGGTAAGAGAGAAGTTGAGAAGCCAAACAGAATAGCAATGTAATTAACAAATTAGTAATAGCTGGTTTCTGGTGCCTGGTACTGTGCCTGCAGCTGTAGACAGAGACAGAAGTTGTATTTCCAGGATCTAAAAGCTATAGTATTTCCAGAATCTGAAAGCTATACAGTGGGATCTAGTACTATAATGCAGGTTACCTGAAGAGAGATGAGACCATGGTGGGAGTTGTAACCAAAAAGAGAAGTAGCCAACAGTGCCAGGAAACACTGCCTTGAAACAGAGAAAATAAAAATAACTCTAACTGGTTTGGCTCAGTGGATAGAACGACAGCCTGTGGACTGAAGGGTCCCAAATTTGATTCTGGTCAAGGGAATGTACCTTGGTTGCGGGCACATCCCCAGTAGAGGGTGTGCAGAAGGCAGCTGATCGATGTTTCTTTCTCATTGATGTTTCTCTATCCTTCTTCTTCCTCTCTGTAAAAAATAACTAAAATATATATTTTTAAAAGAAGTAAAAATATTGAGGTTTTTCTCATCTACCATGCACTCTTTCTGTGGTACTTTCAATTGTCTGAATTCATGAGAAAACAGAAATCAATGGGCCTAAAAAATATGGCTTGTATAAAAAAAGAAAAAAATTGATTAGAAGTAAAATAGGTAATCAATACAGAGTTTTATGTATTGAGTTTTTAAAATATTCTATTTGGTATTCCTTGTTATGAAGATTCTCCATGCTTACTCTTTTATCATCCACATTTATATATGTAATAATCTGGAATTATTTAAGATACATTTTCCCCCATATGATATTCAAGTCAAAAGTATTATTTATTTAAAAATTCATTCTTTCCTCTCTCCTTTGTAGTCTTATGTTATAAATCAAGTGATTTCGAAAATGTAGGTTTACTTCTAGACTTGTACTGATATCATACTATTCAAATGGCTATATATCAGGTCTTAATATTGAGTAGGATAAGTTCTCTAACTTTGTTCTTTTCAAAATTATCTTGTCTTTTTATGCCTCTGCATTTCCATACACATTTCAGAATTAAATTGACAATTTAAGGAGTGAGGGGAAGCCTGCTGAAATTTTAACTGTAATTTATTTGATCTAAAAATCAATGTAGAGAAAATAAACAATGTTTTCAGCTCACCTGGCGTTGCTTAGTGATTGAGTGCTGACCTATGAACCAGGAGGTCATGGTTCCATTCCTGATTGAGGCACATGCGTAGATTGCTGGCTTGATCCTCAATAGGGGTTGTGTAACAGGCAACTGATCAATGATTATCATCACCATCACTGATGTTTCTATCTGTCTCTTTCTCTTTGAAATCAATAAAAAATATATTTAATAATAAAATAGTTTAAAGAATATAATTTAAATTTTTATTTTTAATTTGTTTTTTATATACAATAATATAATTTACCTTTTAGTATTCAATTTGTTTAAAGATCTTGCTAGATTGATATATTTATTCTAGTAGATTACAGACTTTAAAAATTTCTAGATATGCAATCATATGGTATGTGAATGAGAGCTTTCTTTCTATTTTTAATACTATTTGTCATTCTTATAGTGCTTATGAAGTATAATGTATAGAAATGTTCTTAAAGTGACATTTTAAATTTGTTTCTGAACTTGGAGAAAAGTATGTAATATTCCACTGTAAAGTATAATGTTGGATATAGATTTTTTTTTATTGTCTAAAGTTTTCCATATGTCTTCTTTTACCCCAATTGACCCTCCCAGCCATTCCCATCCTGTGTTTGATGTAGGTTTTGATGTAGAAAAACATCATCAATTTAAAAATGTTCTCTCAATACCAAAGCTAGACAGACATTACAAGAAAACTACAAAACAATATTGCTCATAAACATAGATGTAAAACTCAACAAATATTAACATATCAAATCTAACACTGTATAAAATAGTATGTATTATGTCCAAAAGATTTATCCCAGATATGCAAGATGGCTAAACATTCAAAAATCAATTAATGTGATCCATCATATTAACAAGCTAAAACAGGAAAAATCACTTGGTCATATCAATATAAACAGAAAAAAATATCTGACAAAAATCCAGCATTCATGATTAAAACAAAAACAAAAACTTTTAGTAAACTAGGAATAGAGAATATTCTCAACTTGATTAAAAAATCTATGAAAATTCTACAGCTAACATTATAATGGTGAGAAACTTGAAGCTTTCCTATTAAGATAAACTACAAAGCAAGGATGTCTCTCTTATCACCACCTTTCAACATCATACTGGAAATTCTAATGCAACAAGACAAGAGAAGAAAGTAAAAAGTATACCAGTTGGAAAGACATACTTAAAACTATCACTGTTCAAAGATGGCATGATCATCTATGTAGAAAATCTGAAAGGATTCCCCCTGTCACCCCCTCACCCCCCAAAAAAACCTTTTGGAACTAATAGGCAATTATAGCAAGGTTGTAGGATACGAGGTTAATATATAAAAAACAACTACTTTCCTACATACTAATAATAAACACGTGAAAGTTGAAAGTAAAAACATAATACCATTTCCCTCAAACATGAACTACTTAGTGTATAAATCTAAAAAAAAAATATGTATATTAGAAAAAGTACAAAACTCTGATGAATGAAATTAAAGAACTAAATAAATTCTATGCTCATGGATAGGAAGACTCAATATTGTCAAGAAGTCAGTTTTTCCAACTTGTTCTATAGATTAAATGCAATCCCATCGAAATCCCAGGACATTATTCTGAAAATATCCACAAACTGATCCTAAATTTTGTTTGAAGAAGCAAAAGACCAGAATAATCAACTCACTAATAAAGGAGAACAAAGTTAGAGGACTGCCTCAACCTGATGTCAAGACTTATTATAAGACTATAGTAACCAAGACAGTGGAGATGTTGGCATAAGAATAGGCAAGCAGATTAATGGAATAGAATAAAGAACCCATAAATAGACTCACATAAATATATATTTGATAAACAAGAAAAGGCAATATAATTGAGCAGTGTTAGTCTTTTTAACAAATGGTGATGGACTAGCTTAGACATTCAAATGCAAAAAAACAAATCTAGACAGTTTCTACTCTTGCCAATAATTCATTCAAATGGACTACAAATCTAAACGTAAAATACAAAAATTGTAAAATTCCTCTAGGATAACATAAAAGAAAACCCAGATGACCTTGGGAATGGTGATGCATTTTAGATACTTGAACACCAAAGACATAATCCATTAAAGAAATAATTAATAAACTAAGTTTTATTGAAAAATAAACCCACACTTCTGCTCTATTAAAAACAATGTGAAGAAAATGAGAAGATAAGCCAGAGACTAGGAGATAATATTTGCAAAAGAGTCATTTAATAATGGGCTGTCATTCAAAATATATACAGGACACTTAAAACTCAACGATAGGCAAATAATCTGATTAAATAATGGGCAAAAGACCTTACCAGACCCCTCACCAAAGAAGATATGCAGATGGAAAACATGAGCATACAAAAATATGTTCTAAATTATATGTCATGCGAATGAAAACAACAATGAGATCCCATCGCACACTTAATAGAAGGGCCAAAACCTGAACACTGACAAACTATAAATGATGAAGAGGACAGGGATCAACAGGAGCTGTCACTCACTACTGGTAGGAATGCAAATGGTATGGCCTCTTTTAAGAGAGTTTGATAGTTTCTTACAAAGCTAAGCATTATGTTATCATACAATTCAGCAATAATGATTCTTGGTGTTTACCCACAGCAGTTGAAAACTTATGTCCACAGTAAGACCCTGCACACAGAACTTTATAGCAGCATACTAAACATAGAATTGGCCCCAGAATCCCCCTTAACACAGTAGTTCTAGCACGGACTGTTCTTCACTCTGCATCTATTCCTGAGTTCAAAGCTCCACTCTGTATTCTGACTTTTCCTTTCAAGCAGGCACGTGTTCATAGTGATTTAGGCTGGAATCTGTTTTATTTAATTCTTTATTCATCAGAGACTTGTATGGACAGAAATACTAGGCCACAAATTAAGTAAGAGAATGAATGAAGGAATGAGAAGACAGTTGATGTTGGTTTTTGTGTTTTTGTTTGTTTTGTTTTGGGTTTTTTTGTGTGTGTTTTTTTCATGAATGAGGCTCTCCAGTTAATAGTACTCATAAGGTTCACATTCTCTTATGCAACAGAAAACTGTAGGTATTACACAATATACCATCCTAAATTCTTTTTCACCACACTGCCTTTTACATTGACCACTTAGCAGTACACATATCTCTGAACGATTAAAGGCAAAAGGGTCCACTTTTCTTGAATCTGAAAGAAGGCAAGAACAGATGGAATTAATAATTCAAGTTAAAAAAAATGCCAAGATTTAATAGAAGTCACACAAGAAAACAGAGACCACAGAGAAAAGAAAACAATTTTTTTTTTCTTTTACTTTTTCTTTTTTTAATAGTTCTGTCCCTATCTATACCAAAGCAAATCAAGGAAACCAATGAGCATCCAATTCCTAAGCAGAATGTCTCACCCTTACACATGTCCAAGTGATTATGTAGTGAACCAATAAGAGATACCTGTAGAGCTTTTAGTTTATTTATGCCCCCCTCTTGCCGAAACCGGTTTGGCTCAGTGGATAGAGAGTCGACCTGTGACTGAAAGGTCCCGGTTCGATTCCAGTCAAGGGCATGTACCTTGGTTGTGGGCACATCCCCAGTAGTGGGTGTGCTAGAGGCAGCTGATCGATGATTCTCTCTCATCCATGTTTCTAACTCTCTATCCCTCTCTCTTCCTCTCAGTAAAAACTCAATAAAATATATTTAAAAATAAATAAATATTAATGCTCCCCTCTGTCTGGCTGGCTCATGCCCTGGGACCACTGAATAATGAGGGGGCCCAGTGCCATCATCTCCTTTGTTACTCATAAACTTGGTCCTGTGCCATTCATCCCCCAAAAGGTTTCATTGTTCATTGTATCTGTCCTGACTTCAGTAGCTCTAAAATACCGAAAACCACTGCATTACTTCATTCAAATATCTACAGTCTTCTTGGGTCTGCACCCCACCCTCACCCCAGGAGTTCTGCTTAAAAACAGATATTTTGGGAAATTAGCATAATGAATGGGAAATTAACAGAAGGAAGGACCATTTCAGAAAGGCTCTTAATTTGCCTCTGCTACTCCTCCCTCCCCTGCTTTTTCCTTCTTTCACACTTAAGTTTCCAAAGCAACAAAAACTTTAAAAAAAAAAAAAATTTTTCTGTCTTAATTGGCATTGTGATTCCTTTGGTTTTGTAATGTCAACAATCATAAGGAATGACTTAGAGATTTAGAAATGAGGTGTTTTTGTCCCTAACAGAAGTTCTGAAATTAAAGAAATGGTTTTTGTTTTGTTTTTTTGTTTCTTGTATCCCCACAGGACAAAACTAGAACTAAATGATGCAGATCAACGAAGAGGCAGGTGTTGGTTCAATATAATAAATGACTTTTTAACATTTAAAGCTTTTATTGTAATAATGAAATATCTTGTCTTAGAAAGTACATATCTACCATCCTGGGCCAATATAATCAGGCCCTACTACACATATTTTAAAAGGTGAACCAGAGTGGATGAGGCATTGTTGACAATGCCTATCAGCATCCCCAAACTCTTCCATTCTTTTCTTTTAAAAATATTTTCTTGTATTATAATAAAAACCATAAAATATAAATTAAAAGCTTAATGCATTAATATGAATCAAATATCTATGTAATATCTTTGTCTTCATCTTTTTTTCTTTTTGCTCTCAAAATGTGTGCAATCCTCAAGACTATTTCTTTAGTTCTCCTCTTTCCCTCTATCCCTGCATCTATCTATTCATTCATTCATTGATTCATTAAATAAATCTTTGTTGAGTACCTATTGTACAGCAAGCAATGGGGTAACCACATTTTATCATGGATATAGCGGCAAAACAAAGCAAAGCTAAAGAAAACATATGGTCCCTATGTATATTAACTTGACTAAAGCCTCATCACTGGGTCTTTTTCTTAACATTGTCACAAAATAACGCTTTCTTTTCCCTCCCATAGAAATGTACTTATATCACTCACAAGGAGTTTATAAGATGCTAACTTAAGACATTTTGCTAAATGGTATGTTAAATCTTAATTGGCACATGTGTCAAACACAAGGCCCGCGGGCCAAATCCGTCCCGCCAGGCCTTGCAATGTGGCCCGCACCGCGCTGTCATCACTGCACTCCGCTGCGTTTCCATCACAATGACAGTTTATGACTGTTCAGTAAACCATTCGGCCCGCGATTTAGGCTGGATTTTAGATTTTGGCCCCTTCTCTGATTGAGTTCGACACCCCTAAGATAAAGACTAAAATAGTGAAGAGTTTCTTTTTAAATGATTCCCCAACACCCAGTATAGACTTTTGTTGCTCAACTTTCTCTTCAAGTTATCTTAATTATGCCATCTTTGGAATTAATAAGGATATTTTAATTACTTTCTGTATATGGGATTCATGCACTGGTGGGGGCGTGGCCTGCAGAGATCTGCCCACTGTAGGAGTGCCACTCACCATGGTCAGCTGAGCGGCTGCAGACCTGCCCTGAGTGGCTGCTCCCTGGTGGGCATCTTCCTTGGAGCCAGAGCACTTGCCTCTCCAGGGAACCCAGCCAGGGGCAGGCCCAGGGACAATGGCACTGAAAGGTGGTGGAGTAACCCTCAGTCCTGCTGTGGACACGAATCCACCTCCCAACCTCCATGGTCAGCACTGTGAACCCAGTGGTGGCACTGGATGGCCTGTGGGCATCTAGAGGAGGTGGCAGGGAGCTAGGAGGAGGAACCTGGGGTGAGGAGGCAACAATTGCAGCCCACCCATGGCTCAGGGTTCACAGTGGGAACAGCTGCTCATCCTAGTCATCAGAGCAGTGCTCCCACAATGGTAGTGCACTGACCATCAGGGAGCAGCTCATACGTTGAGTATTTGCCCCCTGGTGGTCAATGTGCATCATAGCAATTGGTCAACTGGTCATTTCTAGTCATTTGGCCATTTGGTCGCTGGGATTTTATTGTTTAGGACTAGAGGCCTGGTGCATGAAAATTCATGCACTCAGGAGTGTCGCTCAGCCCAGCCTGCACCCCTCTCACAATCCTGGAGCCCTTAGGAAGAGTCCCTAGGACTGGCCTGATATCAGGGCCTATCAGGGCTTTCCTTCCCGAGGCTGCAGACAGCTGGTCCCACCCCCATGGCTGCCACTGCTTGCCTTCTGTGCAGCACAGCCCCCCCATCTCTTGCCACTGGTGGTCTTCTCTGCAGGCAACAGGAGTGGGGTGTGATGGCTTGGCTGGCCTGGGCCTCCCTCTATGGGGCAATCTCTGGCTGGCTGTACACCTGCCACAGAGTTGCTGCCAATAGCCTGGGCCTCTCTTTTTCTTTGCTGGAGGGCAGGGTCAGCCCTACAAGGGGCTATCTGCTTACCTTTTCGGTCCTGCCTACCTGACCAGCCCTTATCACTCTACCTACCTGCCTGATTGCTCCTCACCACTTGCTTGGGGGTGAGGCCAGGCTGGCGAGGACTGTATGCCTCCCTGATCACCCCTAACTGCTGGCCTGCCTATCTGATCACCCCTAATCACTTGCCTGCCTACGTGATCACCCCTAACTGGTCTGTCTGCATGATCACCCCTAACCATTTTGCCTGCCTGCCTGATTACCCCTAACCACTTGCTTGGGGGCAGGGCCAGCCTTGTGAGGGACTGTCTGCCTACCTGATTGCCCCTAACCACTGGCCTACCTACCTGATTGCCCCTAACCACTGTCTGCTTACCTGATCACCTCTAATTGCTGGTCTGCCTGCCTGATCAACCCTAACTATTCTGCCTGCCTGTCTGATCTCCCCTAATTGCTTGCTTGGGGGGATGGGGCCATCTTGGCAAGGGACCGTGGTGGTTCTGGTCTCTGGTTGTTCCAATCATTGCACTTTTGGTGGCTGGCATTTTATTATATAGTATATATTTTTATGTTTCCAAAAATATCAAGATTATGGACAATGGACAGTGGAGACTGACAAAAGAAAAACTGAGATAGCAGTCTGAATCCTAAGCATAATGGCACTAGCAACATTAAAAACCAACCAAACAAACAAAAACAATGTTGGGAGCAATGATTGGAGAACATTGCCTCTGAAATAGGAAGGACATTTATCTAGACAGTGTTTCATAAAAAAAAAAAAAAGTAAGACTCTATTACTTTAAAATAAAGCTCCTTTCTCATTTTGAACATAAAATCTGCCTTCATAAAACTGGAAGATGAAAAACAAGACCTAAATACCTTGGGACTTGGACAAAGAACATATTTAGAATATTTCCTTCATTGCATTTGACAGTTAATAATTAAATGTGTAAGACAGAATTATACTTGTTTTATTTTACCTGTGTTTATTTTACCTGCATGAGTTTGTGCCTTTTCAAATAATGAGTATGCCTTCTCAAACTTCCTTCTACATGGTACTGCTTCTGGCAAAGAATCATTATCAGGTTGGCCAGAGCCCACTGCAAAAGAAAAAGTTTACTTCGAAGGTATAAGAAAAAATGTTTTTGAAATAAGGACACTAATTTATTTATCTTTATTTCATGATCCTATTAACTGTAAGAGGTTTTAGAAAATAATACATATATAGCATATATTTCTTTAAAGTTGGGTTGGATATGTAAATGAACATCTTGGCTATTAATAAGATGAGCTCACACTGCTTTTGTAAGTAAAGAATAATGAATTAATGTGGGCAAAACGCAGAATAGATGCTAGCTATTAAAGTCACGATTAAGAAAAAAAAAGCATCATCTCATATTGAAATCTAGGTAAATCTACATAATGTATCAGAAAATCTCTAGAAATAGATGACATTTTAATGAGCATGTTACAATTAATTTGTATGAAGATGATGAGGGAAAAATTACTTATTTAACTTAATTCCAACTCCTTGAGTTACAAAAGTTATATTATTAATTGAAGTTCATTCACATGTCCCCTTTTGGTGAGAAATTGTCAGCTAAAAGCTATTTAGGTTTGAATATTATTAGAGAAGAGTAGAAGTGAAAGAATGGGATACAATACATTTATTTTATGCTAATCTCCTTTGAACTCAGTAATGAAGTTATCGTGGTGATTCAGGGAAAGTAGCAAGAAAAAGAAGAATTTAACTGAAAGTGAGTAGATGCATGGCTAGTCTTAGTTATGAATGTAATAAAATTTTTACTTTTAGCAAGCCATTTAACCTCACTTACCCTCTGTCATCAACTTTATCCAAGCATAAATTTATTCCACATCCATTTAAAAGATTATTAGTATATTAAATAGGAAGAATTTGAATATTGAATAAACACACATTTCTGAGATAGAGTATACCACTGTAGCACTATTCCAATAACATATATATATATATATATATATATATATATATATATATATATGTGTGTGTGTGTGTGTGTGTGTGTGTGTGTGTGTATAATCTTAAGCAATCAAAGTTAATTATAGGTTTTATTAGTGTATTACCCCTGAAAATGTATTCAAGTATTTTATCCATCTAGGGGATATATATATAAATATAATGTGGTCTTGCTGATGGTATTAATACAATGTTTGTATAATGTTAATAATACTCACTTTAAAAATTCCAACCCTCTTCCCCCCTTTAGTGCTGACCCCACTGGCAATAATATTCATATTACCTGATAGCATGAAGACACCAAAGAAGAATAAAATAAAAGAAAAGAGAAGAATCTTCATTATTAATGATTTCTGAGGAGAAAAAAAAGTCCACAGACCTTCTGTATTCATTCAGTTGTTGTTAAAATAAGGAAGAAAAATAGTAATTTCATTTATAGACTTCTTTTTTTTTTTTTTTGCAGTCTTGATTACTGAGGCTTAGTAAAAGTAAGAACATTTCTTGCTTCGTTGAATAGTGCCCTGTTGGAAGAGATGGTGTCTAGAAAAAGCTGATATATTGTCCTAGAAAAATATCGCCTGCTAACTCTTCTTGCAATCAGTATCTCTAAAGAACTTTAACAGTTACAATATTATGGGTATAAACATAATTTTGTAGCAATTCGCATAATAGTCAGGAGAAATGTGTTTAAATAATCAGATTTAATATTTTAATGTGTCTAATGTGAAAAATGAATCTTAATGTAATGAGAAATCCAAAATGGAAATTTAGACTGAAATTGCCATTGAGAATATTTAATTTTACTCACAAACTATTAAGATTCAGAGTGGTTAAGTGATTTCATAATACATATCACTTTTATTTAAAACGTATATGAAAAAAAATGACTGCATACTGATGTGTTTGAAAATTACCTTATATAGTTTATTTGTACCTGAAGAAGGGTCTAGTCACTCAAGTAGGAATCATAAATGTCAATGTGCAAATATCCTATGTTATAACATCAGATTGCATTTCTCTTCTTTTCTATGTAGTTTGGACTTGTTTTTTTACCCCATTTGCAAGTTTTCCAAAGTCCATGAAAGTAGATATTGGAGAAAAGCAACTGAAATTGTTCTCCAAACCAAATGAGTAGATGTTAGGAACAACAGTCCATTGATTCTCTCTTACTATGCCCAAAGAAGGCATTGAAGTCAGGATGGCCAAGTGGTCTAAGGCCAAAGAAAGCACTAAGCATCTGGATATAAAAGAATGCCGGTGAACATTAATCATCCTTATTCTACAGCAACAGAGGTGTTGGCCATGACAACATGTATCAATATTCAAAATCTTGGCAAGGCTTCCTGAACAAACCAATGAAGGGATGTGTCCAAGTATTATTTCTTTCTACAACTAATTTCTACACTCTATAAAATGTTAATTAAATAATTTAAAACCTTCTATTTAGAGCTTAGAACATGACAGAATTTTACCATCATCTGACATATGTAAAACCATTTTAGCTCAATCTCCATGTAAGATTAATTCAACAGAAATTAATCAAACACTACCATGTACCTATTGCAGCTCTCAATCCTGTAGTAAATTGTGAAGATAGGATATCTGATTGTTGTGGATAAAAATAAGTATTAAGTACTGGGGGGGGGGGGCGAGGAGACTGAAAGTATTAGTTGAGTAACTAGAATTAAATTTCAAGTTCTATTAAAAACTTTATCAAAATTTAACTGAAAGTTAATAGATACTGGAATTTAACTGAAAGTGAATAGGAATTCTGTTATGAGAATTTCTGTTTGATTTTCTATTCTATTCTTTTTTTTAAATATATTTTTATTGATTTTTTAAATATATATTTTATTGATTTTTTCAGAGGAGGAGAGAGGGATAGAGAGCTAGAAACATCGATGAGAGAGAAACATCAACCAGCTGCCTCTTGCACACACCCTACCGGGGATGTGCCCGCAACCAATGTACATGCCCTTGATCGGAATCGAACCCGGGACCCTTCAGTCCGCAGACCGACGCTCTACCACTGAGCCAAACCGACTTCAGCATCTATTCTATTCTTTCCCAAAGATATGACAAAATTGAAATACAATTATCTTCCTCCTAAGACTGAAGCCAATTAGAACTGTATTTTGGATATTCTCTTTATTAAATCTGAAGGGGAAAAATAAAACCATGACAACATAAAACATTATTGCCAAGTCACTTAGATTACTTTTGACCCAGGGCTCATGGAGAACAAGGGAATCATTCTCTTTTTTGAACAAGTAAGCATCATCTTGATTATTTGCTCTGGTTGTCCAACATGATAAACACATTCTGCAGGATATATATATATATATATATATATATATATATATATGATCTATACTTCTTATAGGCATAAAAAGGTGAAAAAGTACATCAACCTAGCTTTTGAGATTTGAATGGAGATGCATTTTTTTTTCAAGGAATAGACAATAAAGTAGGGGTGTCGAACTCAATCAGAGAAGGGGCCAAAATCTAAAATCCAGCCTAAATCGCGGGCCGAATGGTTTACTGAACAGTCATAAACTGTCATTGTGATGGAAACGCAGCGGAGTGCAGTGATGACAGCGCGGTGCGGGCCACATTGCAAGGCCTGGCGGGACGGATTTGGCCCGTGGGCCTTGTGTTTGACACATGTGCAATAAAGAATGGGATGTGTGTATTTCAAATGGGAAGATATCCATGGCTTCTATTAACCTCACAGAACCTGCAGATGGGAAGAAAGAACTCTCCTTAAATAAAGTCTAGTACAGATACGGTAATTTAGAGAAAACAATGGGAGGTTTTGCAGCAGTGAGATAATGAAAGGAAAAACAACCAAATGAAAAATAGGTTTAAGGTGAAGGAAACTTTGTCCAGTTTGATGTAGCAGGAAGAGGTATAATTTAGGCAACTTTGAAGTGATAATGCTTTTGTGTGATCTCCAAGTTGGAAACTATGTTCAGGCTGATCACAAAGTGAAATCACTAAGGCTGAAGATCCAAGAACACTCTGTAATATGAAGCGCAATAACAGAATTAATAGAATATAAAAAGTTCTTCCTGAACATCTTGTAACATTTCAATCCAACCACATAGCTATTGTATTTAAAAATAAACAGTTTCATTAAAATGCTGCATTCCCTTTGATCCTACTCTATGTTCCACTGGCATTCTAAGTAGTGGTAGTCATTAGATTATTGATAAAACTTTATAACATAGTGAGAATAATAAAAGTTATGTCTTTGAGACAAAAAGAAAAAGAAAATAACATCAAAGCAATCAGGTCACAAGGGCATGGAGAATAACACAAAATATGAGAATTGACTTAAAACTCATGGTTATTAAACATTTCTTGACTTACAGATTCCAGATTCACAAATATTTATGGTATGAGTGAAAAGAATTTGGCTGTAGAATAAGGCCTGGAACAATGTTGAAGCTTTTGTGTGTGCAGATAATATTTTTATGAGAACTCTTCTTGTTCCTTAGTTACTGTAATGACTTATTTCAGCTCATGGTCACAGAAGCATATAAGCCCACCCGGTGTAGCTCAGTGGTTAAGCGTCAACCCATGAACCAAGAAGTCACCAGTTTTATTTCAATCAGGGCACATGCTCATGTTGCAGGCTTGATCCCCAGAAGGGGGTGTGCAAGAGGCAGCTGATCAATGATTCTCTCTCATCATTGAAGTTTCTATCTCTCTATTCTCTATTCTTTTCTCTCTAAAATTAGTAAAATCAATTCATTTCTCTCTAAAAAATTAATTTGCAAAAGCATATGGGAGTGGAGCCATACACCAGTGTAATACACCAGAATGTCCAGGTTAGAAGCAAAAGAGCTATAGAATGGCCACCTTCTTACTCTTTCCTTTAACTCTGTCACTTGAGGTTAAGGAAATGGCATCTTTGTACTTGTAAAAGGAAGCTGCTCATGAAAGCTTTTTTTTTTTCTTTTTTTCAGGGAATTAATAAACTTAATTGTGCTTTCAGGGAATTAATAAAAAGCCTTGGTGCAAATTATAATATGACAGAACTTTATGTTTACAATCCTACTGAAATACTGTGGTCCCCAGAACACAAAACTGTTTTCCAAAATCTGTAATAGTCTTTTATGCATCTCAATGTCCTCTCTGAGAGTGGAGGAGTCAGCTAGGAAGTAGCGTTTAATGCCTCTTCAATGCTCAAAACTTCCTAAATTAAAAAGGAAATTAACATTGTACATCACTATGCTGAGTGTTATATTAAACATGTCCCATGTGGTCCTTTTCTCATAACAACCTTGCTAAATGGGTATTGCTATCTCCATTAAAAAAGAGGAGAAACTTAGATTCAGGGAGATGTATTATTTAGGTTATGCGAAATGCTGTTACAAAGTTACCCAGATATGAATAATGCCTTCAACTTGATAGAAATATATTCTTGTCTCTCTAATGTCAAAATGGATAACACTGATTTGTAAGGTTGTAAAGCCCTGACTGTTGGCTTGTTTGCTGAGGCATCCACTTCAAAGATGGCTCTTGAATAAACACATTGCCAGCCACACATTAAAGAGCCAGGCCTACTCCCCACAATGAGGCTCTCTTTTTTTTTTTTTTTTTTTAGAGGTTTTGGTTGATTTTAATAACTAACACCCTGGCATTTTTCCTCTTCTCACACTTTAAATTCCCACCCATATGTTTAAATTTATCAATAAGGAGTGAGCCCATGAAATACTGGGCTCCTATCCTTAACCCCAATAAAAGGAGAACACCAAGCTTCTCTCTCTCTCTTTCTCTGTCTTTCTCTTTCTCTCTCTCTCTCCCAACCCCCCAATCTCTCACTGTGTGGCTCCAGTGTTCTGTAATTTCCAGGATGTATAAAAGTAACAAATCTCTACCCCCCCCCCAAAGTTTCCTGATGGTTATTGCTAAATCAATCAATCTATACATAAAATTAAAAAAAAAATAAAATAAAGAGCACTTTGCAATCATAAGAACCACAGGGCTGGGCCAGCCACAACACTGGTTACTGATAGGCAAAGACCAACACACACACACACACAAAAACAGGGCTCTCTTCCAACATTTTATTCAGGGATACAGGTCCTTTGCAATTTATGATTCTATAACCCTTAAAATGTAGGTTTTAAGGTGACTGAGGAAAGGACAAGAGAAGCAGAATCCATTTTGTAGTGGCCATCTTGTGATGATACGGGGCGGCCATCTTATGATGGCGTGAGGGTGTTGTGTGAGGGTGCGAGGGCATGAGGGCCACTTCGGCTTTTATTAGTATAGAGCCTGAGAAAGGCTGAATGTCCCAGGAGAAGGATGACAGTAGCCCCAGTGACAGTGA